TTAAGAAAATACTGAAAGAAAGGGAACATCAGCCAAGGATAATATACCCAGAAAAGTTATCCTTTAGATATGAAGGAGAAATAAAGGCTTTCCTAGATAAACAAAAACAGAGAATTTACCAACACCAGACCAGCAATGTAAGGATTATTTAGAGGACCTATAGAAAACTGCCAAATTGAAAGAGCGGACAAAATCACAAGGGAAGAGAAACTATGGAGATACAAACAAAAGATAAAATGGCTGTAAGTCCTCACACAGTATTAATCGCCCGAGGTGGCGCCCACATGCCCTGTGCTCCTCTGAGACAAGCCAACACACTGTGGCCGAAGAGGCGGATCTCACGCATCAGGGCCTCACTCAGCATGTGGGGTCGATGAGGCACTGAGGCAGCAGGTCATACTGCCAGGCAGACGGGAGGGTGGGGAGCAGGCCTCCCTGAAGTGAGGGGGTGGGGGTGCAAGGCACAGTGATGAGCCCTTCCACTCTGCCCACTCCCCAGCTACAACCCCTCCTGCTCAGCACTGCCACACCACAGCCGATGACAGCAGGAGGTCTCGCAGGCTGATATGGGAGACCTGCAGTATTGCTAGCTGGGCGGGAAGGAGCACAAGGTCAGGTGGCAGAGTGGTGGGGGACGTGCCCCCTCCAACAACAAAACCAACCCCAGCAAGGAAGAGGAGGGCGCAGGGAAAATGTTCATTGGTCACCGGAGCTGGAATACCAGCAAAATGGACCTAAAGGACTCTTTTACCAAATTTGGAGACTGTACAATAAAAATGGATCCCAACACGAGCCGGTCAAGAGGGTCTGGGTCTCTTCTCTTCGAAGATGCAGCCAGTGTGAAGGTCCTGGACCAGAAGGAGCACAGGCTTGATGGCCGCGTCACTGACCCCAAAAAGGCCCTGGCCGTGAAGGAGCCTATAAAGAAGGTTTTTGTGGGGGGTTGTCCTGAAGCCACCGAGAAGAAAATCAGAGTTCTGAGGCGAGTTTGGGGAGATCAAGGCCATTGATCCTCCAATGGATCCAAAGTCAAACAAAAGACAAGGCTTTGTTTTTATCACCTTTAAAGAAGAGGAAGCCCTGTGAAGAAGGTTCTGGAGAAAAAGTTCTACACCAGTGGTTCTCAACCGTCCTAATGCCCGACCCTTTAATACAGCTCCTCATGTTGTGGTGACCCCCGACCATAAAATTATTTTCGTTGCTACTTCATAACTGTCATTTTGCTACTGTTATGAATTGTCATGTAAATATCTGATATGCAGGATGTATTTTCATTGTTACAAATTGAACATAATTAAAGCACAGTGATTCATCACAAAAATAATCTGTAATTATATATGTGTTTTCCGATGGTCTTAGGCGACCCCTGTGAAAGGGTTGTTCCACCCCCAAAGGGGTCGCGACCCACAGGTTGAGAACCGCTGGTCTACACCTTCAGAAGCAACTGTGCAATCAAGGTGGCTCTGCCTACCAACAGCAGCAGTGTGGCTCGGGGGGCCCATAAACCGCAACCAAGGGAACCGAGGCAGCTGTGGCAGCGGAAGCAGAGGTCAGGGTAGTACGACTTACGGGAAGAGACAGCGACGTGGCGGCCATCAGCATTAACCAGCCACTCTGAGGCTTCGGCAAGGCCCATCTGACAGCACACCCTTTGTTTGGATAATGAGTGAACACAAACAATTATGTACCAAATATAACTTGGCAGACTTCTATGGCCCGCCCCATGTGCATCTTAAATCCCCTCGCCCCCCGCCCCCCACACACATCACTCTCTAGTTTACTATTTCCAGACCTCTAGTTATTTGAGGCGGCATGTGGTGTCTATCTCAGAGGCCAGAGCGGCTTTGTGCGCTGATTTTATTACCGTGGGAGGGTCTGTTTCCTGCTGCCACTCTGCGGCCTGGACCTGCGGCCTCTGGTTGTAAAGAGGTCTATCTTAGGAAACCAGTGTCACCTCTTTCAATTGTATATTATTTTTTATATATTTCCTATAATGGAAGTGTTAATTTTACGCTACTTTTTGGTTCCCTTTGGGAGTCTAACATATTGTAAGGTATTTTACACATGTCCTTCCTGATTCTGCCACAACCTGGATACTGAAACTATCTACGCTTTTGAAATAAAAATGTACCCCCCTCCAAAAAAAAATCAGTGTGTAAATAAATAAAATAGAGTACAAAAAGACAATAGAAAAAATTAATGAAACAAAGAACCAGTTCTTTGTAAAGATAAAGTTGAAAACCCTCTGGGTATACTCACTAAGGAAAAAAAAAAGAGAAGATTCAAATAAATAAAATCAGATCTGAAAGAGTAGTTACAATGGACACCACAGAAATACAAAAAAAAATTATACAAGAATACTACACACCACTAAATTTAATAACTCACAAGAAACAAATTCTCAGACATATACATCCTTCCTAGATTTAGTCATGAAGAACTGAAAAATCTAAACAGGTCAATTGCCAGCAAGGAAACTGAAATAGTAATCAAACACTTCCCAACAAACGAAAGTCCAGTTTAAGACAGCTTCACTTGTGAAGTCTAACAAACAATCAAATATTTAACACCAATTCTTCTCAACCTATTCCCAAGAAAATTAAAGACAGGGAATACTCCTAACTCATTTTATAAGGCCACCATTACCCTGATACCAAAACCAGGCAATGACAACACAAAAAAAGAAAATTACAACCACAAAAGATCCCAAATAGCTAAAGCAATCCTGAAAACAAAGAACAAAGCTGGAGGTATCATACTCTGACTTCAAACTAAGCTACAAAGTTATAATAATCAAAATAGTATGGTACTGGCAGAAAAACAGATGCACAGACCAATAAAACAGAATTTAGAGCCCACAAATAAACCCACACATACATGACAAGAGCCAAAAACATACAACGGCGAAAGAAAAGTCTCTTCAATAAATAGTATGAAGAAAACTGGAAAGCCACATGCAAAAGAATAAAACTAGACTGCTATCTGATACCATTCACAAAATTTAACTCAAAACAGCTTAAAAACTTGAATATAAGACCTGAAGCAATAAAATACATAGAAGAAAACAGACACTAAACTTATAGACATTGGTCTCAGAGGGGTTTTTGTGAGCTTGGCTCCAAAGGCAAGGGCAGTAAAAGAAAAAAGAAAAAAAAGAACAGGACTAAAGCTTTTGCATCAACAAAACAAAAAGGTGACCAACCAAATAGCAGAACATATTTACAAACAGTAACTCTGATAAAGAGCTAATATCCAAAATATGCAAAGAACTCATACAACTCAACATCAAAATATAAAAAATCCAATTACAAAATGGGCAGAGGCCCTGGTCGTGTGGCTCAGCTGGATGGAGGGTTGTCCCGTACACCAAAAGGTTATGGGCTTGATTCCTGGTCAGGCACACACCGAAGTTGTGGGTTTTATCCCCAGTCATGACATATTCGGGAGGCAACCAATCAATGTTTCTCTCTCACATGGATGTTTCTTGCTCTCTCTCTCCTCCTCTCTAAAAATCAGTAAAACATATCCTCAAGTGAGGATTTTTTTTAAAAAATGGGCAGAGGAAAATTCCTTGAATAGGCAATTTTCTAAGGAAGACATGGCCAACAGATATATGAAAAGATGCTCAACATCCTTAGTTATAAGAGAAATGCAAATCCAAACCACAATGACATACGACCTCACACCTGTTAGAATGGCTATTATCAGTAAGACAAGAACTAGCAGTACTGGAAAAAACATGAAAAGGGAACCCTCACACACAAAGGGTATGTAAATTGGTGTAGCTACTATGCAAAACAGTATGGCAATGCCTCAAAAAAATTAAGAATAGAGCTACCATAAGACCCAGCAATCCCTCTTCTGGTATCTATCCCCAAATTTTTAAAACAATTATTTGTAAGGATATATGATCCCTGCAGCATTATTCATAATAGCCAAGACATGGAACAACCTAAGTGTCCTTCAACAGATGACTGGAGAAAGAAGATATGGCACATACGGCATAAGTACTGTGGAATATTGCTCAGTTATAAAAAACATGAGATATTGCGGCCCTGGCCGGGTAGCTCAGTTGATTGCAGCCTTGTCCTGATATGCCAAGGTTGCAGGTTCGATCCCTGGTCAGGGCACAGACAAGAAACAACCAGTGAGTTCATAAAGAAGTGGAACAACAAATCAATGTCTCTCTCTCTCTCCCTCTCTCCTTCTCTCTCTCTCTCTAAAATTCAATAAATAAAAAATCTAAAAACAAAAAAAAACCCATGCGATATTGCTATTTGCAACAGCATGGATGGATCTCGAGAGTATCATGCTAAGTGAAATAAGTCATATGTGGGATATTAAAACCAAAAGCAACAAACAGCCTGGCTGGAGTGGCTCAGCTGGTTGAGTGTCATCTGTGCACCAAAGGGTTGCCGGTTCGATTCCCAATCAGGACACATACCTCGGTTGCAGATTTGATCCCCAGTTGGAGTGCCGGCAGAGGGTAGCCAATCAATATTTCTCTCTCACATCTATGTTTCTCTCTCTCTCTTCCTCGAAGCATGTTCTCAGTGAGGATTTTTTCTTAAAAAGGCAATGAACAGCCCCAGCTGGTTTGGCTCAGTGAACAGAGTGTCGGCCTATGGACTGAAGGGTCCTGGGTTCGATTCTGGTCAAGGGCACATGCCCAGGGTGTGGGCTTGATTCCAGGTAGGAGGTGTGCAGGAAGCAGCCAATCAATGATTCTCTCTCATCATGGATGTTTCTGTCCTCTCTCCCTCTCCCTTCCTCTCTGAAATCAATCAAGATATATATTTAAAATAAAATGAAATAAAAAGGCAACAAACAAAAAACCTCATATTTACAGAGAAGAGGGGCTGGGGAAGGACCAAGAAAGTGAAGGGGGTAAAATATATGGTGACAGAAGGAGACGAGATTTCCGATGGTGGGCACACAATAGAGTATATACAGATGCAGTAGTATAAAAATGTATGCCTGAAACTTACATAATGTTATTATGAACCAATGTCACCCCAATAAATTTTTTTAAAACCATATTATTAGACCACAAAAGTTTTTAATACTAATCACTCAAAGCTTTATAACTGTTAATGTCACAGCTTCTCAACATACTGCCTGATTAAAGTGCTGAAGGCATCACAGCCTCCCTCGAACTTCTTCCCCGACCCGTAGAAATAACCAAGGTTTCTCCTTCACCAAAAGTACATCCTGCTCAAAGTTCCTATTAATAAAGCAATTTATTTTTGCTACATAGACACTAATTAATTTGAACAAATTAATATTGCTAAAGCAAAAACCCAGCAACTTTCTTAATTCATAAAAACATGTATCTTTCCACTGGAATTACCTCCGGCCAAAATATACCGAGTCGGATGCATAGCATTGATGGAGCACACAGAAACTAGGCATTCTCCACCGAGAAAAGAATGCACCCGTTTTCCTGTCTCGTGGAAGATTTCCACCTGCCGTGGATAGGCCATGCTGCCCACGATGATACAGTCTTCTTGTTTAGGGTCCCACACAGCTCGGAACCTGGTCAGCCATCGCCCAGTATTGGTGTTGTGCCTAGTGGGGAAAAAAAATTGGAAAAGATGGTAAGTGTTAAATAACTCAAGGTAGCAACAGGCAAAGAGTAAAGATGGCATTGCTCCTAAATGCTGGTTTTCTCTGCCAAGTTTCTTTCTATTTTTTTTTAATAGTAGGTATAACTTCATCCCACAGATTTTTTAAACATATTTTTATTAATTTCAGAAATGAAGGGAGAGGAAGACACAGATAGAAACATCAATGATGAGAGAGA